TGAGTTTCCTTTTGTAGGCCTTTGACAAGCTTAAGTCCGAGCTGCTTTGCCGTGAGGCCAGACTGTGGAAGGCTTTAGATGGGGAGAAATCCCTTAGTCTCCTTTGCGACGAAAGGGAGGTCGAGTTGGCACACTTACGGTATGAGGTGAGTCAGAGCTTGAATTATGAGAGCTACATGAAGGGACATGTAATTTTTGTTCCGAGAGAGTGCGTATTCCTTCTTCTAGATCCTGAGGCTCATGTTTCATTTATTTCAGTTGCAGAAAAAGACTGAGGATCTAGAGTGCCTTCGGAATGATGTTGGCCAAGTCAGGCACGAGTATGATGAGTTAAAGGCTCAGGCGCACGCTCAGGCTTCGGCGGAGAAGGGTGCTCTGGCTAAAGCTTCTGCCCTTGAGGTTCAACTTCGCTTAGCTCGTGATAATAGCTTGGTTTGAACAGATATGATTACAAAGCTCGAGTCTGAGCTTTTGAAGATAAAGGCCAAGGTTGTGGATGACCGGGCTGAAGCTGTAATGAGCTGAACTAAGGCTGACCAGAAAGTGGCGATCTATATGAAGGACTCTGCCGATGCTCAAGCAAAGTTGAGAAGGACTCTTGACCATGAGGGCAGGAGCAAGGAATACGCTCGGTGCAAGTCTCAAAGGGAAACCTTCAAGGAGATCCATGCTAGGATCTTTGACTTCTCGGAAGATGTGAAGCGGGTGAGGGCGGACCAACGTGGCACTAAGTCACTTCTGTCCAACACCGAGGATAGCGAGGATGAGGCCGACGGGCCATAGTCCCCAAGGGGTACGTAGATTTCCTTTCGCTCTTAGGCTCTTACGTGTTGGGTCGATGCGACTTTTATGCGGGCCGACGACAGTGGCTCTTACGCTTTTGCTCTTAGGCATATTTAGTTAACTATTTTGGGTTTAGCCTCTGAATCGAGTTTCGACTCGAGCTCATTCGACTCTCAAGTTTTTGAATTTAGAGCTAGCCCTTAGGCTCTTACGCATTTGGTTGATGCGACCTTTTATGTGGGCTGGCGACAGTGGCTCTTATGCCTTAGGTTGATGCAACCTTTTATGTGGGCTGGCGACAGTGGCTCTTATGCCTTAGGTTGATGCAACCTTTTATGTGGGCTGGTGGCAATGACTCTTATGCCTTGGGTTGATACGACCTTTTATGTTGGCTTTATTTTTCCCTCGATAAGGATTTTTTCAAATAGTGTTTGCATGACTCTTCGACGGTTTAATAAAAAACCTCGATTGCGAGTCATTATATGGCGATGATCAAGCACCTTGAGAGGTTTGACTCGAAGGCTAAGTATCTCTAAGCGAGTGTTTAGGAGCTGACATGGTCAAAGCTCTTTATCCTATGTTGAGGGCAGCCTGTTTAACCGGTTCTTCCTAAGTATATTCAAAGTAATTGAAGGCCTGTGATTTATATCGACGGTCGGGCGTCCCTGAGTCACGTTAGTTTGGCTAATACAGCCTTGTGACCATAGTCATTTGTGTTTAGCTAGAGCCTTTAAGTATCGAGTGAAGTAGTTTCGACATCTATATCGAGGGTATGCCTCTTTAGGAGTCTTACAAGTTCGATATATAGCCTAAACTTTGAGATCAGGTTTATGCTTTTAGTATGGTCTTACAACTTTTATATGCCTTTCAGGTCTTACAGTTTTAGATACTTGGTACAAGTATGGTTCATGCCTTGCTTGAGGTATTACAGATATTGTTGTTGCCTTATATAGGTCTTACGAGATCGAGGTTGCCCGCATGTGGCCTTACAGCCTCGGGTTTAAGTAAGTTGATGGAGATGGCGTTTAACGGTAGTCCCCGAGTCATCGAGGGTTTCTTAGCTCGGGAGACATTACTTATGAGCTTGATATTGACTCATTAAGGGCATGTGATTTTGGAGTTTCTGACCCGGAGGTCATGTGACCTTGAGTTATCGACGCCAGTCCCCGAGTGTTTGGGACGTTTTTGGCTTTGGAGCTATTTTGTGATCTTGATGTTGCCTTATTGAGGGCTTACGAGTTAGGAGCTTTGACTCGGGGGTCGCATTGTTTTAAGTTGCTGACGCCACTCCCCAAGTGTTCGGGACGTTTTTAATAGAGGAGCCGTTTTTGCAAAAAATACCAAGTTATCTTGAAACACAAAATGCTTTTGGGAAGTATTCTTTGATTACTTGGTACGTGTATAAATGTCTTTGCTGTTAAGGGCCCAGTTGTTCTATACGAGCACAGTTTATTCGACCGTTTGGCCTGATACATTATGTTCCTATCGAGCCCCTTTTGGCGTATCTTGGCTTCTTCGAGTAGGTGACCTTTCGGGGGATGCACCCCAGTATTCGAGGTTGATTACAAAAGAATCCTTGAATACTTGTTGAGTCTCCCATAGGTAGCATACGGATGTTGCCTCGTTAAAAACCTTGCCGGTAAAACCCTTTTTGGGGTAAAAACCCAGTCGAAGGAAAAGAGTGCAACACGAGCTTTTGAAACCTAAGGACTTCAAGTTGGAGAGTGCTTTGGCCGTTTCGATCGGATACCTACAGTCAGGTCAGTGTAGAATGTAATTGAAATAGAAAAGAGACAGTTCTACCTTAGTGCAGAATGCGCCGGCGATGTTTCGAGCCCTGATATGTTTCAGTCGCTTGTGATGAGGATGCGGTACAGTCCCCTACTTTGTTTAGTCGGGGAAAGCCGAGAGTGTAGCTTGTTATCGTTATTTTACTGTTTTCTTATCCTTCAGCTCCTTTGAAGGTGGAGGTACCGATGTCGGGGCCACATCGTGCACCGTAAACATTTCTCTCGCCGCATGTTGTTTCCCTTAGATGGTCTTAATCCCATCCTTTGTTAGGAATTTCATCATTTGATGGATGGTGCATGGTACTGCTCTCATACAGTGTATCCATGGACTTTCGAACAGGGTGTTGTACCTCATGTCTCGCTCGATGACATGGAATTTGGCATTTTGGGTTGTGCCAGCCACGTTGACTGGGAGGGTGATTTCCCCATATATTGTTTCGCTCGCCATGTTGAATCCATTGAGCACTCGAGAGGCAGGTATGATTTGGTTAAGCGGTCTGAGCTGCTCTACCATCCCCAACCTAATAATATTGGCTAAGCTACCTGGATCCACAAGTACACGTTTAATCTGAAATGTATTTACAAGAAAAGAGATTACCAGTGCATCATTGTGAGGCTGAGACAAAGTATCGATGTCCTCGTCACTGAATGTGAGATTATCCTCGGGTATATATCCCCGAATTTGCTTTTCTCTAGTGATGGATATTTTTGTTCTTCTCATCGTGGGATCTTGTGGGGCATCGATGCCTCCCAAGATCATGTGGATGACATGTTGTGGCTTATTCACTTCGTTCTTCTTGGCCTCCTCTCTTTCCCGGAACTGATTTTTGGCCCGGACGTTGAGGAACTCTCGGAGGTGACCTTTACTGAGTAGTTTTGCTACTTCTTCTCGGAGTTGGTCGCAATCCTCGGTCCTGTGGCTGTGCGTGTTGTGGAATTCACACACTAAGTTATGATTTCTTTGTGAAGGATCTGATTGCACAGGCCTGGCCCACCTGGCGTCTCTAATTTTACTGATGGCAAACACGATGTCTCATACATCGACATTGAAGTTGTATTCCGAAAAGTGGGGTGCCTCCATTGCCCCTGTGTGCCTATCGAATCCGGCTCTATTGACGAGTCCACGAGGATTCTGGCCTCATTCCATCCTTCGATCATTATGGGGTATGTTATGCCTCGGGGCATTTCTCCTGTCATCGGTGTGTGGTAGGTACCTTTCCTTGTTCGGTTTTGGCTCCTATGCCAGAAGCCTAATTGGGTATACCGAGCCTGAGGGGGCTCCTAATTGGTCATCCTCGACCCTGATTTTTGATTGATATCAATTGTGAATGTCCGACCAGGTCATGGTGGGATATTCGACCAGATTCTATTTCAGCTGCTTCGAAGCCACCGAGCTTCACTCATTCAGACCTTGAGTGAAGGCTTGTACTGCCCAATCTTCGGAGACTGGTGGTAGTTCCATTCTCTCCATTTGAAAGCAAGATACGAACTCTCGCAACATCTCGTTCTCCCTCTGCTTGATCTTGAAGATGTCAGACTTCCTTGTTGCTACTTTGATGGCACCGGCATGTGCCTTTATGAAAGAATCTGCTAGCATGGCAAATTAGTCTATGAAGTTAGGAGCTAGGTTGTGATACCACATCATGGCCCCTTTCGAGAGTGTTTCCCCAAACTTCTTTAGCAAGACGGACTCGATCTCGTCATCCTTCAGGTCGTTGCCCTTCATTGCACAAGTGTAAGCAGTAACATACTCATTGGTGTCATACCTCCTTTTACACACCCGAGGGCGATATAAGGGAGTTTTTCCAATTTAAGTGACATTATTTGAAATGGGACTATTTAATTTATTTTAGAGTCAACACTTGAAATATTTATTATGGTGTCCCAAGTCACCGATTTATTTTAAGTCCCAAATTGAGGAAATTTCGACTTTCCTTTTGAAGTCTGCGAGGGAAGGTGTTAGGCCATGATTTATGCATAATATTTTATTAGGGAGTAAATACGATGATCAACAAGATCTATTTTGTCTCAAAACAATTGTAGCCTCAAGTTAGACTAATTAAGTTTAGAGACCAAACATACGGTTTAAATAAGCCTTCCTTATTATACTACCATTTGCCTATTCCCAAAACTATACATATCTCAAAGAATTATTGAGGCCAAATGAATATGATACAATAAAAATGTCCAAGACAAAAAATATCTACAAGAAAAGCTAAGGAAGGAAACTGGAACCACAAATAATTAAAGAAAACAGCTAAGACATATTTGATATGAAAATAATTGAAATTGAAATGGAACTCTATATGGCTTTACATGTAACAGAAGCAAACAACGCACATTTGGAGGCATTTACTAAGTTGAAAGCATTTGATATTATTTTAACAAGCTAACAGAGAACAAGAAAGAATGAACGAGAAAACGGACCTCTACGAACTCAGAAGTTCTTTTAAAAAAACGAAGCTCGGTAACGGAAATTCAAATAAACAACTTGTCGGAGACCTCGACGACCTTGACGGGCTGGGCTCAACTTAAGAGACCAACAACGGTTAAAGAAACTGAAGCTGCTATGTTTTATAGTGAAATAGCTGGTCGGAGATGGCGCAACTCCAGCGAAACGTCGGGAAAACCAGTGACCTAGCGAAGATAAATTTACATGGATTCAAAACCGATTTCCAGAATGGGATGGACAAGCCGGAGCTGCTGCGGTTTGCTAGATCTTTTGCTGCGTTTTCTGCTAGTGTCGTTCCGCTAGGTCTAAATGTTGGGAGATGATGGCTGCTTTCTTTTTTGTTTTCTCTTTTAGAAGATGAAGCTAGCTCTTGAATTGTGAAAGAGAAGCCCAGAATTCGACGGGGGAGGGGGTTCTTCTTTGATTAGGAAACTGCGAATCTTTTTCTAGAAGTCTTCGGCTCTCATTTTTCTATTATGATTTTGTTGTGTATTTTTCTGAAGAACGGCAGATCTGTAAGGTTTTTTAGTTGTCAATGTGTATTGCCATTTTCAGAAATGGTGGATCAGTGTTTAATAGAGTGTGTGGTTGTAGGCGTTTTAGGTTGGCTTTTATAGAGGGTAGGGATTAGGTTAGGGGTATTGGCCTAGGAATTATGGGCATGGTAATTATTGACTAGGTCCAAAAATTAGGCCTAAAGATGGGTTGCTCGAGCCCAAGTTTTATTCTTTCCTCGCGAATGAGATTAAAATACGATCTCATTTATTAATTAGTCCTACTTAATTAAAACAAATGTTAAAATAAGACTGACCGTTAAAATAAACTATTTTTTTGGTATTTTTCAAAATTAAAAATAACTACAAAACATTAATGGAATAATTTTTGTAATTTTGATTTTTCTTGTATTAAAATAAAGTAAAAGAGTCAAAATTAGTTGAAATAACTATATTAGGCCTAGTTTAAATATTTACGTGCTAACATATGAAAAATCTTGGGGAGGGTCAAAAATCACATGTCTACAGCTGCCCCTATTTGACTAGAAACATGAAGAGTTTCTAGACAAAGAATGACTAGACATGTTTTTTGACCCGATCCTTATTTAGGAAAACTGAAAGCTAAAAGAAAGGACAATGTGACCAAGCCCTGGTATCTGAGTTGCCTACATATCCTTGGCTATAAAGGAATCAGACCACATGTAGTTCAGAGATGAATAAGGTGATGGAGTATGCCGAGGTGGAGAGCCGATTAAGGTTCCGTTTCGTTGAAGTTCCAGTCAGCAGTCCTGTTATTACATCTAAATCAAAAAAGAAAAAACTAACTAACCCTATCAGCTACGAGTTACAAGATTCCTTTCTGTGAGTCTTCTGAAGCTTGATCTTCAGTCTTGGTTGGTTCTTCATGCGGACTCTGATCTGAATCTTGATACTTGTTAGCTGCAGGTGTTGGTTCAATCTTCTTCCAACTTCTCAGTTCAAGGAGGGACAAGCAAAGCTTGTTACTTCAATTACGTCTTGAGCAGTCCACATCTTTTCTCCGCTTCTACACTTTGAGTTCACTTCTTTTTCTTTTCTTCTTTTTTATTCTATTTTGGATTGAGACTACTTCTTTTGGTCGTCTCACACCCTATGCCTCGAGGTAAAACCTACTCAGACACCAAAACAAACAAACGCACGAACTTTTTCTACCCTAGTTTTCACTAGGAAAATTTCGTGAGTTATTGTAACAAAATTCAAAACTACTTCTTTATTGAAAGCAATAAAATCAGGATTGTATATCCTTGGGAAAAGAGATTAGGGAGTGGATCCCTATATCTATAATGAAATTAACTAGGGATTAGGGCCCAAAATTGGAAAGATTGCCAGGTTATGCTGGAAAGATGACCGAGTTATTTCGGAAAAGAAAAGGTCCTCGAGTTATGCCGGGTAGGTCCATGGGTTATGTTGGGAAAGTCATCGGGTTATGCCAGAGAAGCAAAGGTCCTCGGGTTATGCCGGGGAGGTCCACGGGTTATGTCGGGGAGGTCATCGAGTTATGCCGAAAAAGAAAGGTCCTCGGGTTATGCCGAGGAGGTCCACGGGTTATGCCGGGAAAGGTCATCGAGTTATGCCGGAAAATAAAAAGGTCCTCGGGTTATGCCGGGGAGGTACACGGGTTATGTCGGAAAAGTCATCGGGTTATGCCAAAAAAGAAAAGGTCCTCGGGTTATGCCGGGGAGGACCACGGGTTATGCTAGGGGGAGGTCCACGGGTTATGCCGGGAAAGGTCCTCTGGTTATGCCGGGGAGGTTCATGGGTTATGCCAAAAAAGGTCATCGGGTTATGCCGGAAAAGAAAAAAGGTCCTCGGGTTATACCGGGGAGGTCCACGGGTTATGCCGAGAAAGGTCATCGGGTTATGCCGGAAAAGAAAAAGGTCTTCGGGTTATGCCGGGGAGGTCCACGGGTTATGCCGGGAAAGGTCATCGGGTTATGCCGGAAAAGAAAAATGGTCCTCAGGTTATGCCGGGGAAAGTCATCGGGTTATGCCGGAAAAGAGAAAAGTCCTCGGATTAGGCTGGGGAGGTCCACGGGTTATGCCGGGAAAGTTCATCGGGTTATGCCAGAAAAGTAAAAGGTCCTCGGGTTATGCTGGGGATGTCCACGGGTTATGCCGGGAAAGTTCATCGGGTTATGCTGAAAAATAAATAAGTCCTCGGGTTATGCTGGGGAGGTCCACGGGTTATGCCGGGAAAGGTTATTGGGTTATGCCGGAAAAGAAAAAAGTCCTCGGGTTATGCCGGGGGAGGTCCACAGGTTATGCCGGGAAAGTTCATCAGGTTATGCCGGAAAAGAAAAAAGTCCTCGGGTTATGCCGGGGAGGTCCACGGGTTATGCCTGGAAAGTTCATCGGGTTATGCCGGAAAAGAAAAAAGTCCCCGGGTTATGCTAGGGAGGTCCACGGGTTATGCCAGGAAAGTTTATTGGGGTATGCCATAAAAGAAGAAAAGTACTCAAGTTATGCCGGGGAGGTCGACGGGTTATGCCGGAAAAGAAAAAGGTCCTCGGGTTATGCCGGGAAAGTTCATCGGGTTATGCCGGAAAAGAAAAAAGTCCCCGGGTTATGCCGGGGAGGTCCACGGGTTATGTAGGTAAAGTTTATCGGGGTATGCCAGAAAAGAAGAAAAGTACTCAAGTTATGACGGGGAGGTCGACGGGTTATGCCGGAAAAGAAAAAGGTCCTCGGGTTGTGCCGGGGAGGTCCACGGGTTATGCCGGGAAAGTTCATTGGGTTATGCCGGAAAAGAATAAAAAAGGTCCTCAGGTTATGCCGGGGAGCTCCACGGGTTATGCTGGGAAAGTTCATCGGGTTACGCCGGAAAAGAAAAAAAAGTCCTCAGTTATGCCGGGAAAGTTTATCGGGATATGCTGGAAAAAAAAGGTTCTTGGGTTATGCCGGGGAGGTCCACGGGTTATGCCGGGAAAGTTCATTGGGTTATGCCTGAAAAGAAAAAACAAAGTCCTTGGGTTATGCCGGGGCGGTCCACGGGTTATCCCGGGAAAGTTCATCGGGTTATGCCGGAAAAGAAAAAGGTCCTCGGGTTATGCCGGGGAGGTCCACGGGTTATGCCGAAAAAGTTCGTCGGGTTATGCCGAAAAAAAAGGTCCTCGGGTTATGCTGGGGAGGTCCACGGGTTATGCCGGGAAAGTCATCGTGTTATGCCGGAAAAAGAAAATGGTTCTTGGGTTATGCCGGGGAGGTCCACGGGTTATGCCGGGAAAGTAATCAGATTATGCCGGAAAAGAAAAAGGTCCTCGGGTTATGCCGGGGTTCAATTAGGGAGTGGAACCCTAGCTTGGAAAAGACTACCAGGCTATACTGGAAGCGACTAGGGGAGTGGTACCCTATGTTGGAAGAGATTACCAGGTTATGCTGGCATCAGCTAGGGAGTGGGACCCTATGCTACCATGATTTTGAATTTTCTTCTTCTTTATTTGCATTTCATTTTTTTTAAAGAAAATGAGTAAAGGCGGGAAATTTTTTTGGAGAAAACTTCCATTTTGGAGTTGTTATTGCGAAGCTGTTTTTATCCCTTGCGCCATTTCTTTTTGGTTGCACCTGCTTCTTGCAAGGTTGCTTTGGATTGCACATATTTTTTTTTCAAACAAAGAACAATTTGTTAGTTTGAAACAGTGGTTGGTTTTGTGGCCTTGAGCGTTTCAGTCACTTGATCTCGGCGCGAATTCTTTGATGAAGATTTCAACTGAAACTGTTTGTTCCCTGAGGACCGATTTCATTTATGACCCTGGAGAACCTCTACCATTTCCATACTTTGCCATGACAGTTGGTCATGTGGAACTTAACCTTTTCGACTTTATTTCGCCTTTGTAGGCCTTTCAGTTCTAGCTCTCTCTTTTTTTCAATTTTTAGCTTTGGAGCATTAGGAAACTTTTTGGCTCCTCAAACTTGCTGCAATGGCTAGTTGTGTGGGACTTAACCTTTTTCCAACTTTATTTCGCCTTTATAGGCCTTTCATTTCTGGCTTCTTTCTTCCAACTTTAGTTTCAGAGCATTTGGGATCCTTGGCTTCTCAAATCTTTGCCGAGACGGTTAGCCACGTGAGACTCAACCTTTTCAACTTCATTTGCCTTTATAGGCATTTCATTTTGATTTTCTCCTTCCGAGAGTTTTGAATTCGAAGCATCGGCCGCCATGGCCAGTCGAGGTCGACTTAATGCCCCTAACAAGGTTGGGTGCCTTTTTGCATATTAGCTTGTATCAAATGAGAACCTTGTAAATCAGTCTTACCATCCTTTCTTTGTCTTAGTTTCGGAATAGAGTTAGACCGAAAGGGATTTAAAGAAAAGCAAACAATGGAATGTACAATGAATTTAAACGAGAGGTATCCCTTTTGGGGAGAAGAAAGAATGACTTATTTGGAGTGCATGCGGACTTCAATGAACATGACATGCCTTTTGGATTGGATGCATGATCTGTGTAAACTGTCCGACTCTCATAAATTCATCACAACTTTGCCTTGGAACCGAGGAACCTCGCGAGGACTCTATTGATGCTGATGGTTGCGAGGATCCTCTTTTCGATCAGGGGCGCCATTTGCGGGTTTTCATGAGCTGACCTCTCTCATTTCTCTTCTCACCATCGCCTTATAGTACTCTTTGCGAGTTTTCACTAACAAGACTCTCTCATTTTCAATTTCTCTGCTTACCATCGCCTTACGGTGCCCGCGTGGATTTTCACTAATAAGACTCTCTCATTTTTTATTTCTCTCATTTTGATTGCATCATATCCAAGTAGTTGCATTCTCCGATCCTTGAACATTCTCACCGATTGATCAGAAGGACTTGAAAGGTTTTGCACTAAATTACAACTTTGGAACCATTCAGGCGGGATCATCGCCGAACCATTACAACATCTGCCCCGATTTCACTTTTGGGGGAATTTGAATTTTTGTTTTGGTGTGACTGAACTCTAGAGAGAGGCTGCCTACGTATCCTTTCGGAATCAAGTCGAACGTAGTTCAGGGAAACTTTTTTTTTATCTTTTTTTGTTTTTTCTTCTGTTTTGTTTTTCTCTTTCTTTTTCCTTTCCTTTTCCTCTCTTTTAATTTCATTTTCTTTG